CAGGCTGAGTCATTTCTACCTTCTCCTCTCTGTCAACGCTCTCTGGTTTCATTTAAGAGAATAGATCATCAGATATTGTCCAAGATTAACGTTCAGGGTGGATATAGCTCGCTAGCAGCCTCGCACCAATGACCTAGTTGATGTCATCAATTACCCAGAATGCTTTGCGTGTAAATAAAACGGCACTGTCCGTGTAATATGTTTTTTAACTTTTAGTTTAAAAATGATAAAAACTAAACAGCCTACAGTATTTTTACAGTCTTTATTTTACAGTTAGAATATATGTTTATCAAATAAAGTCTAATGTTACTACTAATCGGGGATCCCTTTAAAGTTGTGTCTAAGTCTAAAAGCACCATACCTCTGAGAGAATCATGTGGGATGAAACCCTGGAGTTCTTTCAAAAGCACTTTAATGGGTTTCTGAGCGAGTAAAACAAATTAAAAAACTAATTAAATACTGATAAATCTCATTGGATGTGAACAGAATGAACCCACTCTTTTGTGTATTATTCCAAAGATGGTCCTCCTCAGCTTCAGCTTCTCAGGTCCAGGAAACAGCTCGTGCAGGTCTTCTCGGGTCAGAGACCGGATCTCTGAGTCAGTGCAGAAATCTGCCCCTGAAAGAAAAAGATCCGGAGTTTGGACCACCGCAGCCCCMCACGTCCTGTAGCATGAGGACAGCTGATCCGATAACAGTGTCTGCAGTGAGTTTACTCTCCGGGTCATCACCTTCCCCAGCAGCAGATACTCACGTTGCAGCACAGAGGCAGCAGCTGCGTCCGCGCGCCTCACCCTCCTCAGTAAAACAGACATGATTGATCCTGGAGACGGACAAGAAAAACAACGAGCTGTCAGTTCTTTTGTTTCATTTTGTTGGCTCCTCCAATGAAAAGTTTTGCATWTATAAAGCGAGGGGAAATAAAGGTAAAACAACGAGTCGGAGCTACAGTTACAACTATTTTATCTTCACTCACCGTGCAGACGAAAAGGATTTCTGGCGACGTCACGAGGAAACAACGATCGCTTCGGTTTCTCATTGGTCGTTAGAGCGGACTAAGCCCCGCCTCCTCATCGGCGCCTTTCAATTATATTCTTTCACCGCAACAACAAACTTTGACCTTCAAGCTGACCACGAAGGAAAAGTTGATGCATTTGAAAAACAAACACATTTGAGCTTCAAATTAAACCAGCTGTGATCAAAAGAAGTTAAATAATCCATGAAGAAGTTTCTGGTCACGTTGTTTAAAAAAAGTGTTGAACATATTTTTGTGTCAACATTTCTGTTTTATTGTTGATTTTTTTTGTACGGATTTTGCAATCTAACTTAAGCTTATTTACGATATAGGTCCTTATTTATTTATTTATTTATTTATTTATTTATTTATTTATTTATTTATTTATTTATTTATTTATTTATTTATTTATTTATTTATTTATTTATTACATTGTATTTTAATTTAGCGTTTGAAAAAATACTTTCACCACAAATAGAGTGAGGTATTGCTTMAATACAATAAAAATGTATAAGATTCACTTCAGCTATTTCTTATGATACTTTTAGCTTCTGTTTTTTCTTTTAGCTGATTAGCTTTCAGCTGTCATTTTTCTACTTTGCTGACGAGTTAGCATTTTGCTACTGTATTGCTACTTTTAACTACTGTCAGTGTCAGCAGCTAAAAACTATTACCTTCAAGTGGAGCTTTTGATACTTTTCAATTGTTTTTTAAAATAATTTTAGACGCTAGTTTGCTTCTTGATATTTAACTAGTTTAGCTTTTTAAAAATCTTTTAGCTAGCCTCTTTTTTAGTTAGACTGCTCCTTCTTTTAGCTAAAGCTTTGTTTCTTTTAACTTTTCTTTTACTTTTTTCTAATTTTAGGTTTTAGCCAGCTTTTTTATCAATAGCCTTTTACTAGTTATGGCTCAAGTGTTTTGTTACTTTTGACTAAAGTTTTAGCATTCTACTTAAACTAGCTATTTTTAGCTTTAAGCCACCATTTGTCTACTTGTAGTTTTTAGCTGGCATGTTGCTACTTAGAGTGTGTTCCTTCCTTCTTCAAACTTAGGTGTTAGCTAGCCTTTTTATAGTGTTATATTAATTTTAGCCGGGGTTCTTTTATTCATTGCTTCTTCTAGCTTTTAGCTAGGGCTCTGCTCTTTACCTTTAACAACTGTTTCTTCAGCAAATATCATTAAAGTCTTACAGAACTTTAAACTCAGATCAGGATTTGTTTTGCTGCCTGTGTCCGGTCCCTCCCTGACCTTCACATTCTCTGTCTCAAGCTAAAATTGGCAGCAGGTCTCAGAAGCAGAGCCAGCAATGATCTCATAGCAGAGCCAGCAGGGTGCAGCACTGCACAGTTTATTATTATCATTAGTGTTCAAGTCAGACATGTTGGAAACTTGCAGCATGTGGATATTTTGGATGTAATGTGGAAAAAAAGGTACACGGTTAAAGTTAAAATCAGGCACATTTTCGTCTTTGTGTGTTTTGACCGATTCAAATCAAGTTCTTAGCATCCCAGATCCTTTATATCCACCTTTGAGTGCCTGCAGAGAACAGTCAAAAGCAGCACTAAAGAGCTGTCCTGGAACCAGAAGCAGCAGAGAGCTTGTCTGTCGAGTCCTGACTCGATTTGTGTGCAGCCGTTTGAAAAGCGAGTTCCTCTCGGAGGCCTGACAGCAGACAGAAGAGCTCTTCTCTTGTGTCAGACTTTTCTGCAGGGGGGCGAGGCAGCTTCTTTAGGCTTTGCTCYGTTTTCCCTCACAGAGCCTTTGAGGAGAGAGAAGAGAAAAAAAAAACGGCAAAGTTTTGTGTGCATCAGACTGTAACGCAACACTGCGTTGACATTCAAAGACTCCCACTACAGCAGCTTAACATGCGAAGCTGTGCCTTTGATTCAGATCTTTTTAGTGTTTTCAGTAGCTCGCRACTTTGAAGAAAATGCAAAAAATGAATTGAAGAACATCAAAACAAGGACTGATGCTGTGTTTGCTGTGTGTACTAATGAAGTGTGGAGCTTTTTCAGCTTGTTTTRTGTGAAGTAACCCAAAACAGCAACTATCAGGGAGGGTGCCTCAGTCATTTTTACCTTCTAGAAGCAGTGGCAACCTTCAGCCAGAAGATGGTAATCAGGTATCAGAAGTCTGAGTTTTATTCAAGGAAAGCTTAATGGAGAATAGTCAGGCTGATTTGGCTTCTGGCCACTTTACATGATGCCAAGTCTGCAGTGCTTCAGAAAATTTGACACAGAGCCAGCAGCTGAAGCAAACCGATGTCTCGGCCTGCTCTYATTCACAGCTATCAAGGTGACATCAGATACTGTTGGATGTAAGCTAAGCTCTGTTTATCAGTCAGATGACAGATCAAGCTTTCCTTTGTTGTGAGACAAAGGAATACCAACATAATCTCCTGAAATTCAMAATTAATGCTTCCAACCCAGATACAACAAAACAATACAGACAACCACACTTTCAATATCTAAAAAAATCCACAAAGAAACACAAAAAAACAAAACATAATGAAGTACATTATCTTKTATTGAGGAACTTCATATCAGGATATAATAAAAACGATAAGTAGTTAATTCTAAGCTCAAATGTACAAAAATGCAAAACATTATTTCTTTGTTCATTAACCAAGAAAAAAAAAGTCAAAATGGGAAAATGAGTGTCTAAAAACTCAGTCTGTTGCATTTTTCAAAGAACTTAAGAAGGAAATAGGGATCATTTTGGCCCAACATCCGTGTGTGACTGAACACCACACAATGTAGGACCAAACCTGTCATATCCATGATTTTTTTTTTATCACCGTGTACTTTTACTCAAGTATGACTTTGGGTCACTTTATACGACACTGCTCCTCTGTAGACTGAAGGATTCTTGAGTCAGATGTGAGACCACCTGGCTCAGGCTGAGTCATGTGATGCAACAAGACAATGAATCCAAGCACAGCAGCTAATCTACAACTGCATGTCTGAAAAGTGTTTCTATTTGAAGCTATTCTTTATTTTTCTGGAGTAATTTTGACAAATCTGAGACTAAATCTTAATTTCAGATTTTTATATTTATAATAGTTTTTTATTTTTTTCAGCCCCATTTCCCCACCTCAATGGTCACTTTAAATCTTTTTTACTTTGTCAATTTAAAACTATAAGCATCCTCCACACACTTCTTAATTTAAAGTGACTGTGAAATACATATCCTTCAAATACAATAAGTCAAAATAAACATGATTATATTAAGGAAATTTGGCATAATACAAATGATTTTACATAATTTATCGCATAACTGGCATATTTTCTTGAAACAGGAAGTGACACGAAAGGGGAACATTTTAAGAAAAGGAACTCCTTGGTCTTTGTTTATTGAAACAACATTATTTGAAATCTGGTGCTTCTTCATCTCTCTGATCATGATTTAAAATAATGTAAAGAAACATCAGATTGTTCTCTACGGTCTGTGTTGGTAGCCGATGTAGTAATAGTCTGTTTACATGGAGGAATTCCCCTTTGTCATCACTTCCTGTCATTTCACATGCAAATATCCCAAGAACTGTTCATCTCAGAGGTGTGAAAATCTTTTTACAATAAGTTATCAGTGTTTTCTTTAAAAATGCATTTATATTTATTACAAAAATTTGATGTCATGGACACTTTAAAGGTTGTCAGCTGAGTTTGAAAACAGTAGATCTGTAAAGAAACCCAGACAAGATGTTTCCTCATTTTTCAAAAAAAAATAAATAAAATAAAAAAGACACCCACGTAATTTCAATACAATGATCAATGAAAAACAAAAAAAAAATTAGGTTTGGCTTCATGTCGTGCAAAGACTGTGGATTTTTATTTCCTGCAAAACGACAAGAAGAAATTAAAAACCCTAACAGAATAAAACAGTGCTCAGCAGCCACTGCAGAAAGAAATCTTCCTCCTCTGTGTGCTCACTGGAAAAGAGCAGACGATGACCTTTGRATTTTTACACAGAAAAGAATGAATATGGAAAGACAATCTCAAGTGGGAAGAAATCCTCATGCATGGTCCTTCGAAGGGAATGGCAATGAGATAAGGAAAGATTAGAGTTCAGCTCCAAAACAGGGAAACCAACGATGCAGTTTCCGTTCTTCCGGTGGAGGAGTCKGAAATTTCCCTCTCAACACCCTCAGTTATCACAGAATTAGATTTTCCCTCATCTAGGCGCAGCCAACATGTTAGATTAAAAGTTGAGACAATAATTCAACCCCCCCCCCCACACACACACACACAAACGTGCTAACTGTCACAGACGTTGCCTTCAGTTATTATGCATTCATAAATCAAAAGGTTGTGACGGGAATTAATTTGAAACGACAGTGAGCGTAAGTCACCGGATGCAAATATGACAGCTTTATTAGAAAACTAGATTGCTCGGATTTGTCTGAATTAATGTGACACCTTTAAAAAATATTATTATTAAATAGCACTCCCTTCCTGTGACTAAATGAGTTGGGGTTTTGAAGGAGGGAAGGAGAGGCTGATTCATACAAGACAAACAAAGATGCACCACTGAAGGAGCTGTCCATGGTTCTGAAAGATCTACTTCACTGCAGCACTGAAGAAGCTGTCCATGGTTCTGAAAGTTCTGCTTTATGGTGCGTTCACACCGAACGCGATTTCAGCGTCAAAATCGCAGCCAACGCTGAAGTTTGAAGCTTGTGCACTTTGAGGTCAGACGCAGGACAGCTGCGCTGCACGGCGACAGCCGCCCCGCCCCTTCCCTCCTCTGTGGGGCTGTTTAATGTCGGACCAGGAAGTGGCTTTGCTTTATTTACAGAGAGCCAGAGCGTGTCACGTTCATCAGATAATTAATTCATAATTAATTCACCAGATAATTCAGAGAAGAGGCTCACAGCTCGCTTTCAGGAC